TTCTCTACATCCAGGGTTTAGAGATTGGTGAATGATTAGGCATTCAAATATTTTGATGCAAATGTTTAAAACACGTATGTATCACTTTTGTTATTGATTTCCTATGTTAGCTGGTTTGCTGTAATTAATAAAACCACTTACAGATGCTGATTGTACCTGATAAGAAAATGTTAGTTATTCTTACTTGCTCAGCCAGAAAAAGAAAAAGAATGTAAAATGATGTTTGCTACTATTAGTGAACTTCTAGGAAGCACAGAATATATGATTGTAAGTATAGGTGCAAAGGACAGAATAATAGTTGATCACAAATCAAGTTTTGAGAACTATACAGAGATGAAAACTGGAAGAGTTCACCTAGACAAATAGGCATTGTGCATGAATAGACCAAGATGAGAAATGTTAAAACTGTGCTATTGAAAAGTTAAAAAATAAATATTACATTTGTTAGAATCTTTCATACAGTTAAAAGACCAATTTTAGCAGAGATTAAAAAAAGGCTATTTGTCAGTTTATCTCATAATCAATAGCAAATTCATCACACCAATGCAATTTCACAAAGAGTGCATTACTTTGACTTTACAGTTCTGATTTACAGAAAAAGACAATGTTTATTTCAAAAATCTAATGCATGACTTAAACTTTTGAAGCTTCCAATTTATTTTAGTATTAGACAACAGTATCTAAGGCATATTGGGAATTGTTAGGGAATTTATAGATGACTGGGTAACAATAATATCCTTAAGAGAATCAAAATTATTTAAGTAAATCACTTCAGTGTGGGATCTCTTTGATGGTTGGGTCATTACTAAGATTTCATACCATAAATTGACCAAAGAAAAAAAAAGGGTAAATATCTGGAATGAATTTTGGGTGATATTTTTCCAAATGCTTTCTATTTTTTGAAAGTGCTTCTAGAAAAATATCAGCATTTTTTAACTAGTATGAAATAAGTGATCTACAACAGGTAGGGTCAGTTCAATGTTCTATCATGTAAATTTCACAGAATGTTAATTTTCAAACCTTTTTATTTGGTCATAGGAAAGGCACTAATCATTTGGCATGAGATACACAACCTTACTCATGATAACAAATTATCTTTCATAGAGTATTTGATTTTAAAATTAAAAAACAAGATATGTAAAAGGGAAGGAAGAAGAGAAAAGGGGCATATGAGGAGCACCAGACATGTACTAAGAATAGTGATAGTTTTATTTATAAAAAAGTCCATAAACAGATTAAATATTCATATTAATAAGGAATGTCTGTTATTTATCAATTGATATATCTCAGTCTTTTGCCTAAAAATTAAATATGGTATTCGTAAATGAAAATATTAAAATATAAGTAGAAATAACAAAACTACCTTCATTTCTAAATATATATATATACTGGATGGAAAATTTAAGTTTTATTTGAATTCTTGCTTGTAAATCTTATTTTTATTTAATTGTTTAAGGAACTGGTAGAAACACATTTATGAATAAACACAGTATTAGCCTAGTATTTTTTAAAGTTTTAGCATCAGTTCACAGTAATGATTTAATTATAAGAGTGCAGACTATTTTGTTGAGACTTGCCTATAATGAAATCTTTTAACAGAAATCAAAGAAACACAGCAAAAGTATAAAATGCATAAATACATAAATATATGCCTGGGTATTTATGATTCTTGGACAGCTACAAATATTATTTAATTAAATTCATGATTACTGCAATTTACTATCATAATAGTATGTAAGGTTTTTTGTCATGAATGCATTTTCATAAAGAAAAAGAATGAAACCATATTTTGGGGAAAATAAGCTTTATTCTATGGACAAGAGCATTTGCATTGATCTATTTAGATATTTGACAAGTATTTAATGCTAACTTTAGAATATGAATATTTAGATTAGAAATCTACTGAATTCCTTAGCAAATTTTGCTACATATATTAATAAACAATATATATTTTCATAAGGGAAAATATTTAAATAATAGTGACTTTGGGGTAAAAGAAATAAACACTGAAGTCACGATTTTTAAGACAAAAATTTGAAAAAATATTAATTCTTTTTTTCTTCATTCCATCTTGATAGTGGGAACTCTAGAGGAGTGGCATATTTCCTTGTTCCATGTCTCTAGACATAGTGCCATGCACATTTCAGATTTCTCAAACAAACTCACTGGAAGAAATAGATTGTTCTCCAAGCTATAGGAAACTAAATACTGTAGCAACAAGCTTGTATTTGCACTAGAATACAACTTGCACTGTTACTACCGCCACAGGGGACACTCTGCTGACATTGGTATTGCATGAAACATGGATGACTTTTATATAGGATAGTTTGTACTGAAAATCACATGTATAGAATTTTCAGCATGCTATATATAAATATCTTGCTTCTGTTTCCGTTTGATTTTGATTTTCAGAAGGGATTAAAATGTGCATTTTAATCCCAGGCTCAGTCTCTTAAAGTTTACGGGACTGATTTAAACACAGTTTGACAAGTCCAATAATTCTTACTTACACAAATAAGGCATAGAAATAATAACTTTCCAAAGTTTATATCCCAAAGAGTTCTAGAAAGAGAATTCATATTTAATTTTTTTCTGATTCCAGTATATTTTATTTCTTCTACCATCAAAAAGACTTAAAACTAATTTCTAGAAATGAAGCATGAAAAAATAAGCCAATAATGGTAATAGCAACAACAGAAATGTTGCCTTAAAAACCTCAGGAACATTATCTAGGTTTTGCCATAGCAAAACGCTTCTAACACATGATTATGTTCACTTTTTACAAGTGATTGACATCCAAAGGGTAAAGTACCAACCCAAGAAGTATGGGAAATAAGAAATAGAAACCAAAAGGAACTTACCAGTTAAAAAATAAAGAATTAGATACTCTTATTATTAAGCAGAAAACACCAGAATGCATGCAGGTAGGCCATAAGTGGCTATACAGCTACAGTGGGTTTTCAGTTATTAATCTGGAATTAAAGCTACAGTTTTTATATGTGATCCTACTTTTAGTAAATAGCAGTTACTCAATTTGCATCAGTAATGACATTCAGCTGACTCTGACATTCTGTTTATTATAACTCCTGATCAGTAACTCCTGCCGTCGCCCCTGACAGTGCCTGCCCCTCAGATCATTAGTCACATTCACAGTATGGTGAGACTCGGTTCATCTTCCCTATAGAACACATAATGGTAGTGAGTCTACAGACAAACCAGTATCTACAACCCAAATTTGTATAGACAAATGCTGGGCTTTTAATCATTAAGTGATCAAATAGTAATTGTACATTGGGGATATGAAATAAGATTGCATAGACATGGAGAGAGTCTATTTCCATCTAAAAGGATTCAGTTTCCCATACTCAAGAATGAAATGTGTGCAAGGCCGTTCATTCCAAAGGCCAGCAGGAGCAAGACAGACGTCAGACAGTGAGAAGGTGATCATTGAAAGCAGCCAAATGCTTATGCTATTACTCTAGCTCTTCTTCAAGATGTAGTCTTTTCAGAATTCTCTTTAACAAAACGTTTTTTTTTCCTCTGACTTCACTTAAGGTTACTTCTAAATCTGCCTACTCAGAAAATGAGCAAAGAATTACTTACAGGGGGACTATTAAGGCTGCTGATACTCATGATTACAATTAATAAAATTGTTCATACCTCTGATTTCTAGAACAGATTGCTTTTGTTTGCTTTCAAAAGGTGAGTAAATACCTGGCTGAGAAATTTGGGAACAGGTGAAAACAAAGTATAATAGTTTGACTAGAAGAGTCATATTTATATACTGGAAATAATAAGGTCACTTATACAATAAGCCTTGATAAATTGTAGAGCAAGGATCTTTCATTGTTCTCTTACAAGTCTGAATAATCTTAGTACTTATAAATTTTAGAATCAGCTTTCAATTTTTATGAACAGCTCTCACTGGAATTCGTAACACATTGCACTGAATCATGTATACATATCGATTTGGAAAGGCTGGCTTTATGATATTTTTGCCTTCCTGATGACACACATAGCTATAGCTCTAAATTTCTATAGATCTTCTTTAATGAAATACAGGACTTTCAAGTATTTTTCTTTCTAAGTTCCTTTTCACATACTTTTCTTTCCAAGTGCCTTATAGTTTTGTTAATTAACTCTAGTTTTTCACTACTAAGAATTACGTATGCTGTAATTTTGCTGATGTTTGTTTAATGCATCCTTAGTCAGTTGGAGAGGGCACATTTTTCTTCCTAGTTTGCTAGGAGGTTTTATTTCTTTGTGTTTGTTTTTGTTTTGTTTTGTTTAGAATGTATGGTTATTGCATTCTATTTCTTGTTTTTTCCATATATTTTAAGATGATTGTCTATGTGCATTTATGACCCTCCTTTAATTCATTAACTTTGTGGATAAATATTATGCTTTCCTTCCTTCCATGATGAACTAAACAAACATTCTTGGAACCAAGCTGATGAAGATATATATATATTTTAATTTTACACACCAGTCATGGGTGTTTGCTATTATTTTGTTTAGGTTATTTGCACCTAATAAGTGTCATGAATGGGAGGGTTGGGCATTGATTTCTAAGTTTTATAGGTTACAGAAAACATGTAGAATAATTCCTCTTTCTGCTATTTTCTGAGGAAAAGATGTGTAAGACTGAAACTACCTATTTCACTTTAGGTAAAATCATCTAGGTCCAATTTTCTTCTCTTGGGAAAAATGACATTTTACCTGAAAATAAATTTTCTTTAGTTATTGTAGTACTCCTCAGATTTTCTATTCCTTTTAGAGCCACCTGTGGCACTTTTTAATCCATCCATGTTCTTACTGTTTTTAATACCTTCTTTAAACATATTTATGCATCTTTTTTCCTAAAATAGTTTTTTTTTTGCCTTTTCATGTTCTGCTATGATAAATTGATAAATTTGTCAAGGTTTTATGACTTTTTACTTGTCCTTTATTTTTTCACTCAGTACTCTATTGTTATGATTCTAATTTTGGATTTTTTTCAGATAATGACAGAAATATCAGCAATAAAAAAGAGACTTGATGTTCTCATTATGAATTGTGCATTTATAACTTTGACATGTAAAAGAACCAAACATTTGCCCTTGTCTTACATCTCAGAATTCATAACTTACTGAAATTTGGGAAGACTGCATTTAAGATATTTTAAAGTATAAACAACAATATTTTGATATCCACCAGACTTACATATGAATTCTAAGCTAAATTTTGGTTTAAATTATTCTTTACATTTCCCCAAGTGTGACTAAACATCACACACTGCATATATTCTCCTATAAGAAGAAAATTATGCTTTGTGTAAAGAACTTTACTTTGTATTTTCTCCAAGTTTATTTAGATTCAAAAACCTTGAACTTTTCAAAGATTATGGTTTTTTTTTTACCAACTGCCATGCTTTTTGTAGATTAATGATGAAACCAATTGTTCATCCCTTTGACTCTGACAGCATACAATGAATTCTGACAACTTTCTCCCACTCCAGTTCCTGAATAACATGTAATTTCCTTGATATGACAAAATATCACTTCAGCATTCATGTCATGCCTTGGTGTTCATTTTTCATTTTTCTGTAAGTTAATGAGTTCTAGCAAAGAGTGCTATCATAAAGTTTGCCAAAAGTCCTGCTGCAGCATATGGAGCTAGTGACAAGCTACAGTACTAAGGAGATTTGTTTTAAACCAAGCCTCTAAAGTGTGCATGGAAATACTAAGTACATCCCTGTGTATTTTGCAGACAATCCTGGTTTGCTGAGCCATGTCACAGTGGGTATTAGAGTTCTGGATGTCAATGACAATCCACCCGAACTTGCCAGGGAATATGATATTGTTGTCTGTGAAAATTCTAAGCCTGGCCAGGTAAGTTAATTGTGTCCTTCCTGTCATTTGAATGGAAGAAAAATAAGCAACTCTCTTTCTGTTATTAAATAGAATCCTCACAATCCCCCTGTGTTATTTTTGTGTTGAGCAAAAGTAATTTGATGAAGCTTTATTTTAAGTACCAAATAGATATTTTGGGGAATCATAGAAAATAAGTTTTCTCCAGTTCCTAAATGTAATTCAAAAAAAGAGCTCATTCATGTATGCATTCATGATGCCAATAAAACCATATTGATTTCTTTGTGCGCAGCTCTGTGTTAAATGAGGAGTAAACAGTGAACGTTCTTGTCCTAATGAAGCTTCCAGACTATATGGGAAAGAGGAACTGGTTGGTCATTTTGGAGGACCTGTAGGAGTGACATATGAGTGGCCATTGAATGAATTTGGTTCTAAAGGATCATTAGGTTCTAACGACATAAGAAAGTATCTGTATTAAAGAGGTGGGGAGAGTGAAGGAAGGAGAGAAGGACTCAAATAGGGACATGTAGCATGGCAGCTAGGTAAAGGAGCATGACACTGCTGGAGGAAGGCCCAGTGGCTGAGGCACATAATACAAGGGGGGTCCTGGAAGGGGATGTGCGTTTATCTTCTCTGCTGTATAATTATACAGACTTAGCATCTTAAAACAAGTTATTTGTCATCTTACAGTTTCTGTAGGTCAGATGTCTGCTCATAGCTTAGCTGAAGCTTTATAAGGATCTCTCAAAACTGCAATCAGTGTATCAATGAGGCTTCGATATCTCTTCTAAGCTCACATGATTATTGGCAGCTGTATTCAGTTAGTTTCAGCTGTAGACCTGACAGCTTCAGGATTTTACTCAGCTCTTCAATGTTCCCCAGAGTTTTGAGAGATGCCCTCAAAAGTTTCTTGCTATATGGGCTTCTGCAGCATAGCCACTTACTTCATTAAACAAGTAAGGAGAGATCTGATAAGTCTGCTAGCAAACAATCTTACATAATGTAATATAATCAAGTGAGTGCTATATAAACACCTTGCCATATTATATTCTATTACCATATTCTATTGGTCAGAAGAAGGACACAGGTTACACTCAGACTTAATGGGAGGGATTACACAGAGGCACACATTCTATGAAGGGCGCCTTAAAGTCTGTTTGCCACAGATAAACCTAGAAAGGTAGAAGGAGTTAGACCCAGCTGAGTCAGCTAGTCCATTTTATTGACTTTGGGTAACCAGAATGAATATATCATCCAAAATTGCTTAGAATTATTTTAAAGCTTGTTATAAAAATTATAGTCCTGAGAAACAATGTCTGTGTATTTTGTATAAGGGACAATCAATGGTGGCTCCCTAAGGTAATCATTGCTTATGTGTTTTTAATACCCCCAGGGTATTACATATATAAAAACTCTTTTTACTTGAAGATTTTTCACATTTATTGCCCACAAGAAAATTAGAAAATATGAATGGAGACAACGTGGATGAAAGCTATATTTGAAAGTATTTACAGGTTATATGTTTTATTCTCTTAAAAAAACTTAAGTTTATCAATTCAGGTGTTTAAGGATTTTTCTATATCTTTATTTTAAAAGCAGTAAAGAATTTTATGTACATATATGATGCTTTATTTACCAAATCCTCTTTCAATTTTATCAGAAATGTATGCACACATCCTAAAATTATGTTCTTAACATACATTATAGACATGAAGTTGATAAGAAAATGTTAAACATTCAAATGAAAAATGTAAATATAAAAAAGCAGCCATTAAATATGGTATCTCAGCTCTTGGTTATAACAATAAATTAGATAAAGCCAAAGAGAAAATAAGTGAATTGGAAAACAGGTCAGAATAAAATGCCCATGCTAAAGGACAGAAAGCTAAAAAGATAGAAAGTGTAAATAAGAATATGAAACCCATATGGTACATGCAGGTCTAACAAATAAGTTATTTAATTCTCAGAGGGATATAAAAAAGAATTGGACCAAATAATATTTGAGAAGATCACGGCTGAATTTTTTTCCATGCTGATAGCACGCATCAAGTAACCTTCAGAAACAATAGGGGAAACAAAAACAAATAAAAAATAATTACCTTACTACAAAGATTACTTCACCTGGACACCTTGTAATAAAATCAGAAAATTCAGAGAAGAAAAGACATAATACTGAAAAAAAAAAAGGATTTAGCACTAGGCAAAGAGTTCTTAAGCTTGATACCAAAGGCATGACCCATAAAAGAAAAAAAATGGTAAGTTGGACTTAATCAAACATAAAAAATGCTTTGTGAAAGACTTGGTTAAAAGGATCAGTAGACAAGCTTCAAAGTGGGAGAAGAGACTTGCAAACTGCATGTCCAATGAAGGATTAGTATCTAGAATATACAAAGAATACTCAAAACTCATCAGTTAAAAAAGTCAGTTTAAAAATGGGGGAAAGACATGAGCAGACATTTCCCTAAAGAGGATTCACAAGTAGAAAACAAGCACATGGAAAGATATACATCATCACTAGTGATTAGACAAATGGAAATTAAAACTGCAATGAGATATCTCTACATACCTATTAGATGGGACTAAATTAATAATAGTGACACAGAAAATAGGGAGAGGAAGAGAAATCAGTTCACTGATATGTTATAGGTAGGAATGTGAATTGGTACTGCTACTCTGAAATACATTTTTGCACTTTCTTAAAAACTAAGCATATAACTACCATGCAGTCCAGAAATAACATTTTGGTGCATGTCCCTTAAAGATATGAGGATTTCGGTTACTAGAAAATAATTTACACAGATGTTTGGGTAAGGTTTATTCATAATGAATCCAAACTAGAGGTGACCCAGAATGTCTTTCAATGGATGAATGATTAAATAGACTGAAAGGAATTCATGTCATAGAATATGACCCAGAAATGAAAAGGAACAAACTATCGATACATGCAAAAACATGAATGAAACTCCAGGGAATTTTGCTGAGTGAACAACAAAAATTAAAAAGCTAGTATTCAAAGGTTTTGTAACATACAACATCAGTGGTTAAGAGGTAGGTAAGGGTGGCAGGGTAGTGTATATGGCTATGCAGGAGAGCAGAGTGTTTTCCATGGTGATGGAAATATTCTATATCTTGACTGCATCAATGACAATATCCTGCTTGTGACACCATACTATTGTTTTGCAAGATGATACCAGGGGAGGAAACTGGGTAAGAAAACATAGCATCTCTCTGTATTTTTTACAGCTGCATATGAACCTATAATTATCATAAAATAGAAAGTTTAATTAAAAATAGAAACAAATATTTTTAGTCAAAGATATAATACTTTAAAAAGAACAGTACCAAAAGCTTATTATTTTCAGGAAAGAAAAAGCCAGAAAACAATGGAAAGTTAACTCCCAAGAGTTGCAAGGTAATAACTGAAACCATACATTCTTTTTATTCTACTAAAAATGTACCTCAAAAATAAAGACAAGGAAAACTCATATTTGGGCAAACAAAAATATGAAAATCCCTTATTATAAAACATACATGAAAGCTTTTATTGGGTAAAAAGGAAATAACTATTCTGGTAGGTTCCAGTGGCAAGAAATCTTAAAGACCACAGCAGTCAGTAAGCTTACAGTAAAAAACTAAATTATTCATGAGTTAGTAGAAATCACAGGAATGTTTTCCAGAGTTCAAAATATAAGAGTATACATCTCAATGACAGATCATAAGTGAAGAAGGAGACAAATTAAGTTAAAATATAAAATATTCTAAACTTTTTAAATTTGGGAGAAATTGACAAACTACTAATTCATAATAGATTTTGTATGTCAAGAATGCATGCTGTAACTATTGAAAATAGTAAACTAATAAAAATAGTAAAAGACATATGACTAACAAACTAATAGAAATTGGAATTAAAGATACTTAATCCTAAAAAGGGCGATATGTTAATTCCTATTTATTTCTTGAGTGTAAATCTGTTTATTAAAATGTTCATTCACTTTAGAATAGTTCACATGTAATTTGTTGCATGAGATTTTGTCCTGCTGTATTACATTTTGCAGTAAATCTATAGGGGAAAAAAGCTCTTCATATCGGACTTATCTTCAAGGATTTTAGGACACATTCCAAAACTAAGATGTTATCCTAATAAAATATGAAGCTTATGACCAATTTAATGTTTCCAAAATAATCTAGAGATTTCTGTGACGTTTGTGGAGCTCAAAATTAGAATTACAAGTATTTACTCTTGAGATAGTTTGCTGCAATACAAAATAGGCAAAATAAAACTTTCAGTACAGAAAATTCTAATCGTTATGTAAAGGTGATGGTATTTTTTTTAAAAATCAAGAAAGAAGACAGAAACAAATTTAGAATAAGCAGAAAAATAGAAAGCAAGTAAAAATGATGTAAATTTAAAGAAGTGTATATTAGTATTTATATTAAATCACAGATATTCAAATTAAAAGATGATGCCTATTGTCAAAATAGTTAAGAAAAATGTTCAATTAAATGCTCTTTATGAGAGGTGTGTTAAAATTGCAAGAAAAAAAATGAAGAATTTGAAAGAAAACATATGGAAAAATATACCAAACTACATGAATAATAACTATATACATATTCACCCAAATACACACATACACACACACACACACATACACACTTTATCAAAGGAATATTATTAGATAGGAAGAGGCACATTCACTGAGATAAAAAGTCAGTGTTCCAGGTAGAAATAACAATTTGAAATTTATTTATACTTATCAACATTACTTCAAAATGAATAAGGCAAAACTGATAGAAACTGCCAGAATTATCACATAAAAATTCAGTAAGGATACTGAAAATTGAATACCACAATGAACAAACTTTATTGATTAACAGATACAGAAACTGCATTGAACAAGTTCAGATTACGCATTCTTTCAAAATGTACTTAAAATATTGACCAAAAATTTCCTCCATGACGGGTCACAAAGAAAGTCATAATAATTTTCAAAGAAGAATTGCTCTAATTATTTTTCTGTATG